GCCTAGAAGTGATGGTGAGGGAGAGTGAGAGGGTCAGAAGTGAAGGAAAGGCTGCGAGAGGGGTGGAGAACATGATAGAGAAAGAGGTGGAGAGCAAGAGTGAGAGGGTGAGAGAGGGGAGAGACAGAGCAAGAGGGAGAAAGAGATGGAGAGAGGAGGGACCAGGGTGAGAGCAAGCAAGAGAGTGAGAGTGAAAGACAAAGAGAGCGAATCAGTCGCTTTAGTTCAAGAATCGTGTAGTCTGTGTCGCGGCGGCTGAAGCCATCATCATCATCATCATCATCATCATCGTCATCATTATCATCATCATTATCATTATCATTATCATTATCATTATCATCATCATCATCATCATCACCATCATCATCATCGTCATCATCATCATCATCGTCATCATCATCATCATCACATGTTATTTGTTGCAGATCTTCCTGCGTGAGCTGATATCTAACGCGTCGGACGCTCTAGATAAGATTCGATTCCTCTCTCTCACCGACAAGGATGCGCTGGAGTCAAACCCGGTCCTCAACATCAAAATCAAGGTAAGAGCATCCCTGATCGCGCGCACAGCTTCGCGCGCACGGCATACGTAGCGTTGCGTCGTCATGTGTTTGCACACGGTGTAACTTTATGCGTTGTACACTTGTACTTGTAACTTTACGGCGTTTAGTCGCGAGTTGAAGTTGTGAAGCTGCAAGTTATGCTATGAATGCCATGTTACGTATAGATATGACTAGCTGGGCTACCCGGCCGATGCCCGGGATTTTTGGGGTTACTGCTTTTCTGCCTATTTTCATGCGTTTAGCTGCGGCTACCCGGCGCTGCCGGGATTTTTTGGGGCGTTACTTGCCTTTCTGTTATTTCATGCGTTTGCTGCTATTGCTTCCTGCGTTTCGATTTCATGCGATTGCCTGGATTGTGAGACCTGACTATAGTTGAGCGCTGTTTGCTGCTTCTAGGATTCGTCTTGACTTGTTCTGCTGCAGCTGTATAGTCGAGGCGTAGGATGCCTGTTATTGTTAACTTTTCTGCTGCGCTAGTATTTTTTGGGTGGGAAATCGGGCCAAATCCCTTATTTGACAACCCCAGGTTTAAAAACCCTAACCCTAACCCTACCAAACTCACGACATGGGTGTGTAACGCTACTTTGACCTTTAAATCTTGTTTTGTTTTTTTCGCTGTGGCCTATATGCCGGCAGCCTGGGCACGGTCTATCGTTTTCCTAAATGCCCGACAGTTCTTAACCCTACCCTAACAAAAACCTAACTCTAGGCCCTATAACCTAACCCTAATCCTAACCTTAACCCTAACCCTTGTTTTACTTGAGAATAACGCCTAAAAATTAAAAACTGGACGGGCATTTAGGAAATCGCGAAAGACCGTGCCCTGGCAGGTTCAGATATAAGCGGCTGCTGGCATATAGGCCCACTGACACTGCTGTTGTTTTTTGCCCTTAATTGTTGCGTTTTTGTGCAAAATTGTTTATTGGCTTACAATGGTCGCTTCGCATCATTGTCCGTGATGAGAATATACCTTTCAGGGGTGACCTCTTACTGTCTCAGAAGACAGACAGACAGCATAGACTCCGGCCGATTTACTTGAGAGATAATACCGAAAACTCGAAAATACGACTGTACCGAAGTGCTCCTGCGAAAAAATACGCAGTGGCTGGAGGTAGCACGCCGTCGGTCGTTCAAGCCCCTTTTTTGCGTATAGGGTTAGCGGTTAGCGATTAGCGGTTAGGGTTAGGTAGGGCTTATGGTTAGGGTTAAGGTTTAGGCGCTTTTAGGGTTAGGTTCTTGCCCTCATCGTAAACTCTCAAATCGTGAATTTATTTTCCAAGCGTTATCGAAATCTCTGGCGGCCGACCGCGCCATTTTGGTCTCGTAGTTATGAAAAGCGAATGGACCTGGCGTACCGTATGCTCGAGACAACATTAACGATCACGGCCTGGCGTACCCCGTAGCCACTGCCAAAAAAATAAGCCAGCAAGTGAGCATTTATAACCTTTCAAGCAGTAGTCATGTACGACACGTTTGTCTTCCTTCGAAGCTAAATTGTTTTAATAGAACTAACAAAATATAGCTCGACCATATACAGCTAGAAAATAGCGGTTCAAAATGCAAATTTCAAATTGCAGTTGATAGTATGAGGCACGGAACGGCAATAGCGCCACCTCGCTCTGGACATTTTCTTTAAAATATAATAAATAATTTTAATTGGCTAATTTTAAACCATTTTTTATTTTGTGTATTTTATTTATTTTGACCTTAGCCTTTAGCATCGCCTGACATGCTTGATTAAGAATATATATGTCTGTTGGTGGTGAGCTCTTACTGGGAGGTCGGCCAAAAAGATAGTCAAGACGACAGAACAAAAACAGGCTTGCCCCTTATATAAGGATTAGAATAGTATAACCTCCACCTCCCTCTCTCACCCCTCTCTCTCTTCTCCCCCTCCCTCTCCCTCTCCCTCTCCCTCCTCCCTCTCCCATTCCCCTCTCTCACCCTCTCCCCCCTCCCTCTCCCTTCTCCCTTCGCCCTCTCTCCTCCCGCTCCTCCGCCCTTACTTCTCTCTCCCTCTCTCCCTCTTCATCCTTCTCCTTCTTCCCTCCCTCGTCCCCTCTTCTTCGCCCTCCTTTCTCCCCCTCTCGTCTCCCTTCCTCTCCCCCCTCGTCCGCCCTCTCCCTCTCTCTCAGCCTCTCCGCTCTCTGGGAGGGAAGTGATGGAATTCTCATGTTGCATTCAAGTGTATTATGGTATTGTTTCGTTGGCTGTTATCACGATTTTGATACGTAACTTTCACGGCTAACTCCGTAACATATCAGCTCTCTCTCTTCTCTCCCTCTCCTCCCCTCTCACACCCTCTTTCTCTCTCCTCCCCCACGCTCGCGTCTCACACCCTCTCTCGTTCTCTCTCCTCCCCCCTCACTCTCTCACACCCTCTCTCTTTTCTCTCTCCTCCCCTCTCACACCCTCTCTCTCCTCCCCCTCTCACACCCTCTCTCTCTCTTCTCTACTCACCGTCTGTCTCCTGTCTCTCTCTTCTCTCTCTCTCTCTCTCTCTCTCTCTCTCGCTTCTCTCTCTCTCTCTCTCGCTTTCTCGCCTCTCGCTCTCGCTTTTCTCGCTTCTCTCTCTCTCTCTCTCTGTCTCTCTCTTTCTCTCTCTCTCTCTCTCTCTCTCTCTTTCGTCTCTCTCTGTCATCTCTCTCTCTTCTGCTTCTCTCTTTCTCGTCTCTTTCTCTCCTCTCCTATTCTCTCCTCTCTTCTCTCTCTCTTCTCTTCTCTCTCTCTCTCTCTCTCTCGTCTCTCTCTCTCTCTCTCTCTCTCTCTCTCTCTCTCTCTCGCTCTCTCTCCCTCTCTCTCTCTCTTCTCTATCTCACTCTTCTCTGCTGCTGCTCTCTCTCTCTCTTTCTTCCCTCTTCTCCTCTCTCCTCTCTCTCCTCTCTCTCTCTCTCTCTCTCTGCTCCTCTCACTCTCATCTTCTCACCGTTCTCTCTCCCTCCCCTCTCTCACACGCTCTCTCTCTCCTTCTCTCTCCTTTCTCTCTCTCCTCTCTTCGGTCTCTCCGTCTTCTCTTGCTTCTCTCTCTCTCTCTCTCTCTCTCTCTTCTCTCTCTCTCTCAGCTCTCTCTCTCTCTCTCTCTCTTCTCTCTCTCTCTTCTCTCTCTCTCCTCTGCTCGTCTCTGCTCTTCTTCTCTCTCTCTCTCTTCTCTCTTCTGCTCTCTCTCTCGTCTCTCTCTCTCTCTCTCTCTCTCTCTGTCTCTCTCTCTCTCTCCGGGTCTCTCTCTCTCTCTCTCCTCTTCCTTCTCTCTGCTCACTTCGTCCTCTCTCTCTCTCTCCTCTCTCTCTCACCGTCTCTCTCCTCCCCTCTCTCCACTCAGCCTCTCTCTTCTCTCTCTCTCTCCCTCTCTCTCTCTCCTTGCTCTCTCGTTCTCTTCTCTCTCTCTTCTCTCCTCCTCTCAACCGCTTCTCTTCTCTTCTCCGGTGACCCCCTCTCTCTCTCTCGTCTCGTCTCTCGCCGTCCTCTCTGCTCCTCGCCCTCTCTCACACGTTCTCTTCTCGTATCTCTCTCTCTTCTCTCTCTCTCTCTCTCTTCTCTCTCTCTCCTCCCCCTCTCTCCTCCCCCTCTCTCACCCTCTCTCTCTCTCACGCAGGCGGACAAGGAGAACCACGTGCTGCACGTGACAGACTCTGGCGTCGGCATGACGAGGGACGACCTCGTTAACAACCTCGGCACGATCGCGAGATCGGGGACGTCCGAGTTCCTCAGCAAGATGGGAGATGCGACGGATGCTCAGCTTCAGGACCTCATCGGTCAGTTCGGCGTCGGATTCTACTCGTCGTTCCTCATCGCCGACAAGGTAAATTCCTCATTGATTCCGCGTTGATTCCGCGTGGATTCCGCGTTGATTCCGCGTTGATTCCGCGTGGATTCCGCGTTGATTCCGCGCTCGTTCCGCAGGCATTCTGCATTCGTTACACGAGTTTTCATTATACTTGTTCCTCATTTATTCCACTCTTGTTCCACGTTCATTTATCCTGCAGTCATTCCCTTTTGTTTTCACACTCGTTCCGAGTTCATTCCACATTCGTTCCGCACCTGTTCCATGGTGATGAGGTTCTATATTCTCGGCTCGTGCATGATGAATTTTTCCCCGGCTGATCGACAGATGTTGATAACGTGCGACTACATAAGCCAAACCAAATCTGACGCGAGCCGAGCCTAACACATGAATTAACTTCCTTCACTTTCTTCTCACCATTTCAAAGATAGCGAAATCTTCATTCGTTGTAATTTTTTCGAGTTAACTGATGCTAAACCAACTGATTCGACGTCCAAACCATTTCACAATAATAACGATGTTGAACATAACTGTTGTAACGGTGGCGGGCGCAGCTTTTGGTTGGGTTACCAAACCCGAACCAGAACGTTGAGTGATTGTGTGTGGGCTGTATCTTTTATTGACTTATTATTTATTTATTATTTATTTTTTATAAACTTATGATTATCTTTTTGATTTTTTATTATCTTTTTTGTTTGTTTTTCTGACGTTCTCTTGTCTTTCGCTCGCGCCGCAGGTGATTGTTACGTCGAAGCACAACAGTGATGAGCAGTACATCTGGGAGAGCGATGCTCAGTCGTTCAGCATCGCTCGTGACCCACGCGGAAACACGCTCGGTCGCGGAACCACCGTCAGGTGAGCGCGGCGTCCCCTATCCCTCCCACGCTCAGCGACGGCGCCCCTATACCCCCTCGACAGTTTTCCTTCTTTTGCTTGCGTCTGAAGGAGGAGGGGGTGTCCCCGTTGACATTTACAAACTAGCATGTTTGGACCAGTTACTAGTCAGAAAATCGTCAGGGCATTCCTGGTAATTTTAATGCAGTAAAGAGTAAGAGATCTGGTTGTGTGAAGGGTTGGTGTTGTACCCTGCTTCCCTGTGTGAAGGGTTGGTGTTGTACCCTGCTTCCCTGTGTGAAGGGTTGGTGTTGTACCCTGCTTCCCTTGCTGTCTGCGAGCGACAGACATGTGAATGCATTGTAACTTCACACGCACTCATGGGTTTCCTTCCTGCAGCTTGCACCTGAAGGAGGAGGCGTACGACTTCCTGGAGCCGGACACGGTGAAGGACCTCATCAAGCGCTACAGCCAGTTCATCAGCTTCGACATCTTCCTCTGGACGAGTAAGGTGAGTGGCCGGCGCCCCCTGGTGGCCGGGGGAGGGGGTCTCTGGGAGGGGAGCGGGATTTTT